TAACTGAGCAAGTCCACTTTGTTTGGTAATTGCACATAATGTTGTTTCTGTTGAATTTATAGGTATTTTGAATCTTGAATGTGCTGTTCGACCTCCAGGCAATATTGATGCGGCTACTCCTGATGTAGCTGTTGCGATTGCTATATGACCTTCATTTCTTAAAGTTGAAAGAATAGCACGATACAGATATGTTTTACCTGTACCTCCAGGACCATCTATGAAGAACATGCTATGACGTTTCTGATTAACACGATTGATAATTTCTTCAAATGCATTCTTCTGATTTGAATTGAGTGTATGTATTATATTTAAATCTTCAGCTGGAGTAATGACATTTCGCTCTTCAGATATTTCTCTATTATTGAGCTCATCATTTAAATCATGAAAGATCTCTTGTACATGTGGCAATTCAGGCAAGTCAAAATCATCGATGGACCTTCCCATTCTCTCAAGAAATAAGTTGATATCAAATAATGTTTTTGAAACACATTCATCATAAGAAATATCCTTAATGGCTTGATAATCATGAGACAAATCTGTGTAGTACTCATTCCATAATTGAAGAACATTTGTTGGCTCACAGTAGATAAGAAGAATAGCAAATAATTGTCTGAGTGCATTTGGCATTTGATAATTTGATGCATCATTTAAGCAATCTGATATATAAGTATTTGTTTCCAGTAAACCATGCATTTTTGCAGCTTCTTTAAAAGTTGAGCATTGAATTCCATGAACTCGTAATAAATCAGAAAATGAAGTTGGTCCATATACATGATTTAACAAAATTCTGAGGTAATATCTTTCACCATCTGATGGATTTGTTGTATTTATACGGCCAATTTGCTCATATTTTTTCCTCCTCTTCCATATTTTTTTTTTATCTCACACATATTTTTCAGGAATTTCTCTATACAAATACTCTTTGCCTCATAATCAATTGTATTGAGATTAAAAAACTCAGTTAGCATGGTTTTTTTTCCAATGTCGGTTCGTAATATATCAAGCAAATTTTGATTGTCTTTATAATAAACTGATTGATGGTCTTCTAAATGCAGTTGTAAATTACACACTGATGGATACATCTCATTTAAATCAAATTCAAATATTCTCCATAGTGCTTCTGGTGCTGATACCCATCTGTCATCTTGATATTGTTGAATTTCATCAAAATCTTTTTCTCCATTTTTTTGTGAAAAAGCCACCGAAATTTTATCATGTCCCTTATAAATATACTTATAAATATACTTTACTGCTTTGATACCGAAACATATCTCAACATTTATGTGACAATTATATCTAGGTAATAGATATGTATTGTAAGGAACAACCCAACGATTATCTAAGAAACAATTTCTTTCTTTTACTTGATGCAAATATTGCCTTCTTCGATAAATTGGATATGAGTCATCACCAATTATAGTTTGGTTTGAGAAAGATCTAGGATATTTATTCTTACATAATCCATTTCTCATGCAAGCATTGTTTTTGTTTAAAATTCCACAGGGGCCATGCATCATATATTTTACAACATATTCAAGTAGACTCTTATATTTTGAAGGATATGGTAATTCTACTGAAACAATTCTATCAAACTGTATTGGAGATATTATCTTAAAAGCAGCATCCAAGATAATCAGAAAATGAGCATGTGAAAGTCCTCTTTTTTGAAATTCAATAACATATACACGGGCAGCTACAGTTCCAAAAATTGATTTCTTGAATAATTGATCCTTTAAATCTTGTAATTTAGCCCTGAAAATACGTGTTGTTAGATCGGGTCTGTCCTGTGCCGTTTGACCAGGCTTTAACTCATTTTTAATCTCTTGTCAATCAGGATTACATGTCATTGTTATGAACAAGTCTGGTTTTCCAAAGCGTTGACAAAGAGCCATTGCATCTAAATATCTTCGTCGCATATCACGAGGTCCGCCAATGAACGAAGGTGGAAGTATAATTCTTTTACCAGTATTATTACTTTGTGTTTCTCCAGCGGCTACACTATCAATAATACCTTTATACAAATCTGATCGTATTGTATGTTGATTTTGTTTGTAGAAGTCTAAGCGACTTGTTTCAATCTTCACGTACATGTCAACAACATACTGATGTAGCAATCTACCAGCATACAAGATAATTGATTTTTTATGTTCTCGAATTTGAAGCTTGTAACTATAATATTCTCTGCATGAAACTCTTTCTTTTGATGTCCTCTTGATACCTGAAATAATATAAATTAATTAATTTTGATAATTAATTTAATTATTATATATGAATATAAAAAAATTAATGACATACCATTTTCTTGTTGGCTAAATAATTCTTCTTCTGTTGGAGATGATCTTATTACTGACCTTGTTATTTCTTCATTCCTTCCAAATCTGGAATTTCGATTTATATTTTGATGCCATCCAACTTTTCCATTTGGAAATAGAATCGGATATTGCAAAGGGTCATAGCATCCAAAGTAATGCTTGATTTTACGATATGTCCCAGAATGTAAAGTTAATATGATATCACGTTCAATGAAACATGTACTATCTCCTTCAATCCATATTGCTGCTACTTGGGATACTATATGTGCATTATAAACTCTTTGATCTATTCTTACATCAGATCTAATGTATATTTGTAAGTTTTCCAACAGATCTCTATTATTCAATGATCTGAAGAATTGAGCGTATGGATTTATAGAAAGTATATCAATCAATTTCTTTACCAATTCCTCAGAAAGATTTAAATCTTCAATAACATTCATTCGATTGTTTGTTTCAGCATCAGTGTCATAAATATATAATTGGAAGTAGCATAGACCATTTGAACCTTTTGTAATAGGAGGTAGACTGTGATAAATTTGACCTTGAGCTCTAAACGTGTAAATTCCCTATCTTGCATTTGCCAAATTTGTATCTATATGGGCTCCAAAAGATGTGAATGCAAATATACTGTTATATGCTCTGATTTTAATCTAAATTCTTTTGAATCAGGTGAACATGAGGTGAATAATTCATATAGTTGATCTGGAACAATTGTTGGAGCAAGCATGACCTCTCCATTATAACAACAAAATGTAGGAGGTTCAAATTGAAATAGTCTTGCATTACAATAACAACATGAACGTTGGTGTTTAAGAAAGTGTAATTCTGACAAACTTGATTCGTACTCAATATTAACATCGTTGATATTAGATGCTTCTATATCTGTTTATTACAAGATAAAATATATTAATTATTAAGAAATATAAATTAAAATTAACATAATAATTTTAGGTTTGAAAAAAGAAACCTGAACAAGTTGAAGTCGATGGCAAACAAGCAATTTCTAAATTAGAAAACTACTTTTTTCATTTTCTAGCAATATTAATAGCACGCAATTTTTTTTGTTTCTCTTCAATAGACATTTTAGCATATCGTAGCCTTTGATATTCTTTTTTCCTTTGACCATCCATGTCAAATATATCTAAAAAATTTCCAGCAATATATTAATAGATTAAATGATACAAAAAATTTTGAAAAAAAAATACTAAAATGAACACTACTCATAAACATTTAACAATGAGAAAACAAAATAAATTGTAATTTAATGAACATAAAATAGGAGAAGTAATAGTTAACATTGCAAATGGAAAAGAAAATATATATTGCAATAAAGAAATTGTGTAAGCTCTAAGTAATTTGCAAATGATATTTTTTGTTTTCGATCAATATTACTATCAAGCAACTTTTTTTTGTTTTTCTTCAACAGACATTTTAGCATATAGTTGTCATTGATATTATTTTTTCCTTTGATCCATGTCAAATATATCTATAAAATTTCTAGCAATATATTAATAGATTAAATGATTAAAAAAATTAAAAAAAAAATACTTAAATGATCAATACTCATAAACATTCAACAATGAGGAAACAAAATAAATTATAATTTAATGAACATAAAAATAAGTGAAGTAATAATTAACATTGCAAATGGAAAAGAAAATATATATTGCAATAAAAAAATTGTGTAAGCTCTAAGGAATTAGTAAATGATAATAAATTCATCACTACTTTTTCATGGAAAATTATTATACATAATTATATTTTTTAATAAGTTTAATTATCTGAATATAAGACAAACTCACAAACATTAACTACTGTTCACATTAAATCGGTATGAATTAAATAAAAAAATAAAAAAAATTATTATGATATTTTAACATGAGGAAATGATTCACAACATTTCATGTATTCATGAGTATTAGTTATAAAAAAAAACGAAGTTTAAAAAATTTGGACAAATGAATTAACTAATTTTATAACCTCAATATAATTATGGATAAGATCTCAAAATAATGAATTAAATAAAGATTTATGGATAATTGAAAAATACAAAAAAGCATATTTAGAATAATGCATTAGAGCTCAATATATATTTCCTACATAATAAGACTTTTCATGCAAACTGATCTCAACTATTTAGAAAATTTATTTAATAAGTAAAATTATCGAAATAGAAGATGGACTCACAAACGTTTATAGAGTTTGCCTTCTCCAAACACAAAAGTATGCAATCTGTAATAACAAATAATGAATTAGTTAGAAATAAAAAAAGCGTTAAAGACGTGGTATTAATGAAGTTTTCTATAGGTTTGTTAGTTTATTTGACGTTAAAGACGCATAACTATCATGGAATTTCTCATGTAAAGAACCTTAATGAACATAATAAATAATTAAGAGTCATATCATAATATTTTTTTTTTATTTAATTTCAGTTAAATTGTTATGATAGATTGTGTAACGTCAAATATGATCCGTAATGTCTTTTATAACATGTAAATAATTCAAAGTATTAATATAACGTTATAAAATGATTGACTGAGGATAATTCAAATAAGAACTGCTAAATGCAAAACACCAATAAACATATTTTGATATTTGCTTTTGATAGAGTCCTATTGTAGCTTATCATTGAAGGTATGAAAAATTATTACATATTATATTATGTTTAAAAAATAATTTGTTATATTTTGTTTCAAAACATTGTTTTGTCTAATGGCCTAATTAGTTTGCTTTATTTTTCAATATAAAGGAGAATTTATAATAATTAGACTCATTGATGATATTGATGATGATAATTATGACACTGTGGAAAGAGGCAAAGATACAATGGGTAATAGTAGTGATAATTATCAGGTCCAGGAAATTTGTTCAGTAAACATAGAAATGTTAAATGCTTTGATTATAGTTGTTTAAAATATTAAGTTGGTTTATTGGTGATTGTTGAACGGATTAAACATTGTTGAATTTATCATTTGTGATGCCAGGTTAAGTTATAATGGTGAAGTATGTTGAATGTATTAGAGGAATCAAATGGAAAAAAATTTAAATAGAACGAAGGGTTGCTGAACAACCAAAAGAAGCATCTTCAGAGATAAAATTGCAGAAGTATATGAGTTTGAAAAAAAAGAATTATGAATTTGGTTGGTCAAAATTATGAATAAAAAATAGCTATTAGTCAATTTGTAAAGAAATACTTCTAGTAAATAAATTATAAAGAATCAAACCTTTGTAAATAATTAGAAAATCTCATCACAAAATAATCAGACTTATCATTATTATCCCGATCGAATAAATAGGCAAAATTGAGAAAACACCAATATAGAATCATATAGCCGTAGATTTGGGAATGTCCCAATACCAAAGACAGAAAAGCTTAGGCTGGGAGGTCTCAAAAGCATACATGGTATATGTACATATAAAGTCTGTAATAGGTTTGAACAAAAAGTTGACAAGAATAGAAGAATGAATTGTGCCATATAGTGGTGCAGTAATAAATGGAAGTAAATATGTTAAGAATAGGATTAGGAGAACATCAGAACATATTATAATGGAGAAAAAATAAGGACAGAAGCACTGACTGGATATGCACAAAAGCAAAGGTTGTGGCTTGTTTGCCTTACATACATTTCGGGAAGTACATGAATGGAAGAGAGAATAAAATCCACTCTATTGGTGTGGTCAACCACTTTTTATTTCACATCAATAAAATTTTAATTAATATATGTGGGATTATATTTTCATGTATCCCTCTTAACTACAGGATAATGTTATGGGGGTTGCAACACTAATATATGTCATAAATGATCATAGACCTGAAAGAGTCACAGAAAAATATGAATTTAAAATTTAGTTTGAATTGTTATTTTAACTAAACTCAAACTCTTAAGCTCAGGATTGGGAGTTGATCACCTACATTTCTAATATGATTAAGCCTGATAGTGATGAAGAATAACGGGGAAGTAATGTACGAAAATTCAAGAAAGCAACGGAAAAAAATTTGAAGAAATCATTTATAAGAACTTAGAATGACTTAGAAGGATATGTGTTTGTTATGGTTGTAGAAGAAGGAAAAGGTGGTATTTCAATGCTGCAGCTACTTAGCTTGGCAAAGTACTGGTCAAGAATAAGAAAAATTAACAAATTTAGCTTCATTGCTCTAACGATCTATGCATGCTATGCAATTTGATATTTGTTAATAAAACATCAATCTGTCTTCAGGTTGATAGGAAGGTAAATATGATTTATGGTGGTGGAATTATAGTTTTCATGGGCTTGATTTATCAAACTGTCTTTGGTGGTGGCTCTCATGTCTTACGATGTTAACTTCCACAATGTCCCATCTATGTTAATTATATATATTTCATGTTTCACAAAAATAACAAATAATTTAATTTATTTGTATTAAAAAATTATACCAAGTGCCTTACAACCTTATGAGGTAAAGAGCTTTCACGATTTTAAAAATGCTTATTCTTACAATAAGAGTTACAGAAAAAATAAATAATTTTTTGTAGATTTCAGGAGAAACTATTGGAGAAGTTAAAACAGTTGCATACATGCATGAGAGAAAGATAGAGATGGATATACATGATGATGCTTTGATTGCCCTTCCCGGTGAGGAGAAATGAAAACTCTTTTCAAGTTTAAACTTTAGGTGGATATGGGGCAATGGAGGAGCTGTTAGAAAATGAAATGAATTATTTTAGTTAAAGAACATTATAAGCATACCTAAAAAGATATTTATGGGCATATATGATTCAACAAGAAAAATACAAATATGAAGGAAGTAATGCGTGTTTTCAACTCCAATGTTTGGAAACCTGAAATCAGAGTAGATTGAAGAAACATAGTAGACAGATTCAAATAATCACAACTCATAATTATAATTATAAATTAAAAAAAACTGGAATCCCATCTTCGAACAATTTCATCCACTTCCCAATATGATGGGCACCATTGACCCTATGCTCGGTAGTAATCAAACCACCCATAGATCAATAAATAAATATGTAAAAACTGTAAATATATAACAAAATTTCTTAGATGATCAACCCAATCTTGGAACAAAAAAAATTTGATTCCGAATCCTATTGGAAATGAAGTATTTTTAGGCAAATTATTAAATAAGAAAGCTTTGGGGAGTAATATAAAAAAAAAGTCCTCAACATCGAATAGAAATAGATAATTAAAAAAATAGGCAAGAAGATAAAAAAAATCAATAACATCGAACACCAATAACAAAAAAAAGAATTACAAATAAAAAATATAAAATTAATTTTTTAGATAATTTAATGAAAATACATAAATAATTTATAAAAGATATTTTATCTGAGATAATATATAATGGTTTAGTGAACTTACATGAAATGAGATAGAGTGTTCGAGCGAACTGATGAGTTGATGGGTTCTGCAAAAGAAATATGGATGCGTTGCACGGTGTGAGAGCAATATAACAGTGAGAAAAATACTATACATTTTATTTCTTCTTAAGATTCATTAAAATCATATCATAATTTCAAAAAAAAATGAATCCCAACTTTTAGCACTGTCCTTCACTTCCCATCATGATGGGCAACATTGAGCCAAAGCTCGGTAGTAATCAAACCATCTATAGATAAACCAACAGAAAATGTAAAAAACTATAATATATAACAAAATTTCTTATAGGATCAACCCAAACCTGGAACAAAAATAATATGATTCCGAATTCAATTAAAAATGAATTATTTTAAGGC